CTCATTCACCTTCTCCTGGACAGTGAATATCCCTCCACAGATGTTTTATAGCTATGTGTCTTTTCATTTAAATAGTGTCAATATAGGATAGACTGAGATCTTTGACTCATGAGTCAGGCTACCTGTATAATTTCCTCCGTGTAGGTGTGTGCGTTTGTGAGATTGGTGGAGAAAGCCCACTTTCCTCAGTCAGGGTTGTAGTTATACACTCTGTTTTTACCTTCTATCTCCTTGCAGATAGATACCTTTCCTTAGTGCCAGGATGTCAGCTGTCACTTCTGTTGTAACTGTGCTGTCTCTGGCTGTTCTTCCTCCTTTTTTCTTTATTGAGTCTAAGTATGTTATTCTTTTAGAAACAAATGACCATGTGTGACCTTGGTCAGTGCTCAATGTTCTTATTCCCGTGAAAGGAAAAAGTAAGAAACAAACAAATTTTGGGATAAAAATGTTATTGAACTTTAGTTTTGTTTTAAAGTTAAAATCCAATGGAAGCCTACTTGCAGTGTACTGCCTAATCATTTTATAAATTTGCAACTTACTTGCTTTCTGTTTGACAGGGGAAGAAGAATGGTGGAGGGGCTGAAATTACCTCTTTTTTTTTTTTTGAGGAATAAAATGGTAGATTATGGTAGAGTGAAAACTTTTTAAAAACTATATGTATGAACAATATAAAGAGCAGGGTATCCAGAGACTGAATTTTGGCTCCAGTTTTGCCACGAAATAGCCATAAGTAAGTCAGTGGGCTCAGTGTTTTCTTTTATTAAAAACAGATCATGGATTAATACCTAGTGTTTCTCCAAGTGGATTCCATGGAGCAGTCACAAGTTCTGTACGTGTCAGAAGGTGTTAGCCACAAGCAGGCCAGCACTGTGGAGATTCGGAAAGGGCTTTTCCGGGAGAATGCAGTCCTCAAGCTCTCCGCCTGGCAAGTGACTGAGTGGAGCAGAGTCAGGGAAAGATGATTCCCCTTCCTCCAGTCAGTGAGCAGTGCCTAGGCTGCATGGTGCCTCCTGCCCCCCTGCCCTTTAAATCTGGCCCAACACCAAACAGCTGCTCAGTTTGTGGCCAGATGGATTTGGGAGGACTCTGAGTTAAGCAGGTTTTCTTTAGTGCAAGACGTCTCAGTGTTTCAGTATGCTAATCACTGTACTGAGAATCACCAAGAAGAGAAGTACTGTAGGGTGTATTTCTTGGTGAACCTCAGAACACCTTTTTTGTGGGACTAGTGTTCCTTGGTACACAGACTGAGAGAAACCAACTCCATTGTCTCGACTGTCCTTGTTAAGTCTAAGATTATGTTCTTGTATTTTCTTTTTCTTTATGTTTTGGACACAAGGTCTCATTGTGCAGTTCAGGCTGGCCTTGAATTTACCACATAGCCCAGGCAGGCCTGGAACTCCTGGCTATCCTCCTGCCTCAGCCTCCCAAGTGTTGGGATTACAGGTGTGTGCCACCATGCCTGGCCTATTCTTGTGTGTTTAGTTCTGATACCTTCTGTTCCTTTAACAAAAACAAAGGCCTCACTACCACCAGCACCGCACTGTCTCCAAATTTCTGCCTATGCTTAAGCATTCCCTTTGCCTAATTGCATTTTTAACCAGGGCTTTTTTTGGTCAGGGGACATGCCAGAGCCCCGTTCCAGAGCTTCTTGTGCAGTGTTACATGGACCTTCTGAACAGCACCTGGAGATTGAAGAGGTCGCTGTCACCAGCATGACACAACGCGTGCACTCATAAGTCAGTGGCAGCCATGCTTACTGTTCAGATGAAACTCCGCCTGTGTTATTTATAGACACATATGTCACTAGCAGGTTTGTCATTGTTAGTTTGTAGTACTCGTGTGATTGTGCTACTGTCCCCAGCTCTCCCTGAGTGTGAGGTAGGGGAGGTCTGTTTCCACCCCAACTTCTTCCTTCTTGAGTCATGCAAACTGCAGTGCAGTGCGGGGGGATTCAGCCCATAAACTACAGCAGGTCCACAGCCCTGGCACTGAGTTCTCGCAGCTTCAGATTATTCTACTGATAAGTAATGAGAGCAATGCAGAGAGATTCACTTACATAAATAATGTGTCATGAATAAATGTTAAATGTTATTTGGTGAAATACTCATAGGCCCTTGGGTTTGAAAACGAGCCACTGAGCATGAAAGATGGACTGCAATATGAATGGAGTGCGATCATGGGGATTTTTCAGCCAGACCATTCATTTTGGAAAAACAGCACTCACCCAGCTGCACCTGACTCATGAACTGAGTTGTTATTTACATCTGAAACAACACTTTTATGTTTTTCATAACTTGGTTGGTGAGAAGTAGGACAGTAGCTCTTAGTTCTTAGTTGGGGCGTATTCAGCACTCACATATAATGATATAATATGATATTTATATTAATAAGAAAACTTTTCTCACATAAACATTGAATATCACTGGCCACTTTTCCTAAATAACTTCTAATTTTTTTTTTTTGAAAAATGTTTTTAATGATAGCTGCGTTTGAGAGTGGACTCCTTGTGCCACTGTGGAGGGTCCTTTAGGACTTAAGAAAACAGCAGTGTTCTATTTTGCAAAACTAGCACCTCATGCCAAATTTTGAGTTCTCTCAAAAATCCCTCACCAGGCTTAACAGTTGATTCTTAAAACCCTGAGTGTGTGCTCAGTCCTGTTGCCAAAAGTGGCTTTCTGCGGCAGGGTTTCTCTACCTGCCCCAACTGCGGATGGAGGCAGGGGTGCACTGGGTGTGCGCAGTGAGCACTGCTTGGTAACTTGAGAAGGCTGTGCACTGACAGCACTGAGGCGAGCATTTCAGTTTAGGAATACTGCTGTCAGTAGCTGCTGTCCTATTTGTCTTGCTGCTTTTACTGTCTCTATAAAAGACTTTTTTGTGGCTTTCGGGTTTGAGTACCACCTGAAGAGAGAGTCCTTTTAAGGCCTGGGAGCCTAGCCAGTGCCCTTTGTCCTCTGTTCACCTACTAAAAGGTAGCATTGTGGACCTAATTCACAGGCCCTGACTCAGTATAAACACTGCTCCACAGAGCCCAAAGGGCTAATTGAATTGTACAATACATCATTTTTAGCAACAGTTTCAAGTGGATTGTACTTCATTTTCCAGAATACCATCAGTTGTTTCCTCATTAAAGACTTTTAAATACAGCAAATATTTAAACATGGTAAATAAAATATTTAACCCATTGTGCCTGCCTGCTCCGCCCTGTGAGCTGCATGAGGACATGGCTCTGCCTGTTTCATCTTCCTTCAGTGGCCTAATGCCTCCACAGTAAACGGGCACATAATCTCGGACACAAGGCAGGATTTTTTCAGTCTATCACCTTGTTATTTTCAGTATAGCTCATTACTCAAAAGCTTTGACTAGTTCCGAGTGCCTCTTTGTGAGATGGATTTGCAGAAATTTGTAAGCTCCCTTAACTCTAATTCTACAGGATCACACAACAGGACAGGTATCTCAAAATTAATTGCTTCATTTAAAAAACCCCATTTTTAAATGATGTAATTTTTTACATCCTTATATGAAACATAAACTTTAGTATGACCTTCACAATATATGAAAGCAATAATATGAATTTTACAGATATATACACAAATGCATGCCTTAATCAGTGCACAAGAGCCATACCCTTAATGAACTATACAACACATTGAAGGGTTTTCATGGTTGTCCCCTCCTCTGACCTACCCTGTCCACCGAGTGAATTTTTCTTCTCCAGTACGGGAGATCGAACCCAAGACCTTGACATGGAACTGTATTCCCAGACCTTTTTTATCTTGAAACAGGCTCTCACTGAGTCATTCAGTTGCCCAGGTTGGCTCAAACTTGCCATCCTTTTGCCTCAGCTTCTCAGAGTGCCGGGGTTAGAGACAGACATGTGCCCCTACACATGGCTCGCCCAGGGGATTTCTATTTATCTTTCTATACTCACATCTACTGCCACCCATTTGCCTAGCCCATTCATCAGGAAAGTCGATTTCTCCCTGCTTTATGCAACCAGAAGGTCTCAACCAAGCCTGTGTGACAGGTTATGTATTATTTTTGTTTTAAATATTTGTCTTTTATAAACAGCAAGCCCCTTGGGACTGTCCTATTTGTCTTCATTTAATAAGTTTCTGGTCTAGAGTATGAAGTATAATGAATTTCAGTTTTTGTTTTTTTTTTTTTTTTAAATAATAGAGTTGTTTCAGTGCTAAATTCCAGCTGGGTGTTAGTGGAGACTTTTTGAGGATATTTTGCCTTCCATAAACAGAAATTGTTATCTGATTTACATATCAGTATCAGTAACTGGCATGTAGAGATTCTAAAAGAATTAAGTGTACTACGTGTTATCATTATTGAAGCTACTTTTTCTGCATCACTAGTGCATTGTTTCTAATGTATTCATTTCTACTGATGACAGTGACATTTCTAAATCAACATTCATAGTGTTAGTTGCTTTGAGACACCATACCTAGCTCCCAGGTAAGATCCCAAAGGCAATCATATTGACACTCCACCATCACAACATCCATATATATATATTATATTTTTACGAGGCTTTTAAAATAAGTATTGAGGTCAAGGGTATCAATGAATTTCTTTTTTCCCTTTTTCTTTTGAAATAGTTATGGAAACACAGGAAATTGCAGAGGATAGTACAGAGTAGTCCCTGTGCCTTTCACACAGTTTCCTCCTCTGGATAATGCCTTGGGTACTGTAGAGACAAATGAAGGGAGCCAACCAGGAAGTTGATTTTGGTGTGAGACATCGATATGGTGCTGTTACTTTACCATACATATATTCATAAAATTGTTACCACAGTCAAGATAATTAATTCTTCCAAGTTTTACTAGTTGAGTTTCTGGAAGACAGACAGAGAAGCCAAAATTTATGTTTGTTCCACTTGGACTTTTTCACTGGGGAAAAAGTGATACTTTGCTGTCTCAACTAAAGCTCCTAGTTTGATTGAGCAAGTATTAAGATGATTGTCAGAACTGACTGCGAAGTTTGTTTTGTAGGTGTCTAAGCAGGCCAAAGAGTTCCTGGAGTATGTGTATGAAGAGCCCCTGATCGACATCCAGCAGGAGAACCCCATGCTGTACCTTCATGCCGAGCCACTGGCCACTGTGGTGCGCCTGCGGCAGCAGCTAAAATCACTGAGAGCCTATTTGTTCAGCTGCCGGGCAGCGGTCGCTGAGGATCTGCGTCGCAGGTAAGAGTTGTAAATGTCAGACAGCTCCAGTTTGTTTTTCTTTCCCATCCAGTGAGGATAGTCCATTGCTGTCCAAGGACCTTGCAACACCAACTTGCTCTAAACCTTCAGGTCTCCCTCCACCTCTGCACCAGGCCTCCCCCGAGGCACTTCTGTGACACTCTCTGCTTGGTTGGACCAAACAAAATCAAAACAACTTCTCTATGAAAATTGAAGCCTTCACTTATTAAGGTGTTAATCTGAGACACCAGTCACAGGAATGTTTCCACTGATCACCCGTGTGATGTTTTATACTTTCTCAATTTCAACTCCTATTAATTAGCAGTAAACATGAGCATGTTTGAAATGTTTCATAACTAAACATTTTCAGTGGGAAATAACTAGGTGGTTATTCAAGTCTTCTTTTCCATACAGAAACAAACACCAAAGCTTGGTAAATAATGCAAGCAGTAGAGGAAGAATTAAAATGCACAAGCCCAGGATTCTGCATTTTTATTCTTAACATTGGTGCAGGCTGCTTTCCCATAACGGAGTTAACTCAATTCATAGCATACACAAGTCCAAACCAGGTTCAGATCCTTAAAATAAAATTGAAGTTGAGATGTGCTCACTCTCATAGAGTTCTTCCTTTTACAGTTAGATTTTTATGGGCATATAAATTCTCACCGTTGGCATATATGGACTAGTTTGTACTTGAAATGATCGTTGATGTTCATAAGTTCCCCAAAAATACCTTTTTATTTTTTTACTTTTAAATGAAAAAACCAGCAGCATATATTAGTCATGATAAATGCTTTTAGACATAAGCCTACCTACATAAGAACCTTTGGAAAGAATTAAAATAATAGAGCTTACAATTTGAGATCCAATTAGATCCAAAGAAACTATCCAACCCCAGTCATCTGAAGAAGATATTTTAAAAGAAATAAATGTAGATAGTGAGGGATACATAACATCTAGACGAGCTTTCATAAAATAATAATGAAAAAAACAGTTACCATAGAGCAAAATATTTCTTAGTGGTGGTCATTTTATTACCTTGTTGTTCTTCAGAAAGTGGTTGGGATATATTTCTTACAAAATGTAAGCAAATCTTAATTTTAAAAGATCAGAGCTTTCTCTGGAAGCCAATTGAATTATATGTCTCAAGTTAATCTACCAACCAAACTAGATACAAGATTTTGAAATATGCTTGCCTTTACGTCCGTTTCATAGATTGGATGGGGCAGAATCTGCCAAGAACAAGCAATGGGATATTGATTCCTACAGAACTCTGGAGGAGGCACATTGGTTTTTAACATTTTTGTTATTTTAGATTCCCTACACTTAGATGGTATTAAAATGTTTGGAGTTGGGGCTGGGGATTTAGCTTAGTGGTATAAGCGCCTGCCTTATAAGCAGGCAGTCGTGAGTTTGATCCCCGGTACCGACAAAAAGGAAAAAGACAAAAAAAAAAAAAAATGTTTGGAGTTATCATTTTTCTTTCTAATCTGGCAGAGAGAAGTATACAGTATTAAACATCATTCCTTTAGCTTTCAACAGGCTAGGTAGTGAGTGGAAGGCAACTGATCTTGTGTTACTTAACAATCTTAAGTATGCTTGTCCTGGTATTTTCAGTACCTTTGGACTTGGCTCAGAGCTTGTTTTTCTTGTGACTATATTTGTAGATTACATGAAAATCTATACATGGGGATCACGTCAGATACCTTTCTGGTATAATGTTTTGCTTTGGTTAGAATATGCCAAATCAGGACACATATTTAGAAATTAAAGAGGAGGTCTTTCTCTAATGGATGAGTAAGACTCTCCACTCTGTTCCAGCTGTCTAGTGGTTTACCACCATGTACAGTCCTCATGGCCAGACCACCAGGAGAGAAACGAAGTTATAGGAGGAGGGCGCTCCCAAAATGACTAGCATGAGGGCAGCAGTGATTTCCCCTCTCCCTTTGCCCCTTCATTGCTTTACGAACCTTGTATAAAACGAGGCATTGGATGGAAATGGAGAGGGCAGGGAAGGGCAGGGTAAGTGGACATTAACTTACTTACAAGGGCAAATAAGAGACAGTTTCAGGTTCCTTTTTCTTATCTGTCAGTCTGTCACTTAGCATCGTATCAGACACATCCAAAATCCTCAGAAATAGTTGTTGAATGAATGACAAAGAAAAAGAGCAAGCAAGAAAGACAACAGAGCAAATTAGTCTAAGCAATCAGTTGCCTGGTTTCTGAGCTAATTCTCAGTTTTTTCTTCTCCCCAGTTTATTCCAGTGTCCCTCTAACACATCTATCTTGACATCAGTTTCCCTCGCTCTGGTCCAACCTTTGCGTTCGACAAGGTAGTAAAGTACAAATACAGATTTAGTAATATACCCATATCTCACCCAGTAATTCCTCTACTCTCACAAACATGCTGCACTTCAAACAAAAATAACAGTTTAACTCTTACTGAAACATGTTTTGTTGTGGGAATTAAATGGGCTTGTACAATTGAAATTTTTAAATTAGTTCTTGTACATAGTAAGTACTCAGTATTTTTGTCATTAATATGGCTTTCTTTTATCCTATACTATTCTTATGTCTAGCTTCAAAAGTGTTTGATAGACTATTCTACCTAAAAGCCACCCCCCGGGGTCCTCTCTGCAGAATTAGTTCTGTCCTCCTGCTGCTACGACAGGAGAGTGCTGGCGGGGAAAGCAGACTGACCGCAGGGCTGTGGTTCCTAGCTGTACAGCACATGCTTGCCTTTACGTCCGTTTCATAGACTGGATGGGGCAGAATCTGCCAAGAACAAGCAATGGGATGTTGATTCCTATAGAACTCTGGAGGAGGCACATTGGGTTTTAACATTTTTGTTATTTTAGATTCCCTACACTTAGATGGTATTAAAATGTTTGGAGTTATCATTTTTTTTTCTAATCTGGCAGAGAGAAGTATACAGTATTAAACATCATTCCTTTAGCTTTCAACAGGCTAGGTAGTGAGTGGAAGGCAACTGATCTTGTGTTACTTAAAATCGTTTTGACTTACATTGAAATATGATTATTAAGTGGAATAATCTCCTAAGAGGTTTTCTAAGGTGCCATACTTCCTGCTGCATGCTGTCCTTTATATCAGCTCTGCCTTCTCCTGTGACCATAAAAACAGCATTAAAGACGATCCATTCCCACCTAGTAATTACAGGTCCTGTTGTCAGAGGCCATCTCACGTCAATTTCATTCACTTTTACTAGGAATTCAATTTAAACAAGTAAACAAAAAACTAAATGAACTAACACTAGTTAGTGATGATAAACTTATCCAAAATCAGTATTTAAGTTTCATATATATATATATATGAATATATATATTTCATATATATATATATATAATTTTTTTTTCTTGTTAGACATCACTGAAGAAGGTTTCCTATATTTTACCTGAGAACATAACATCTCAAGTGAGGGGAGCTTCGAGACCTGACTAGTCTTTCATATCTCTGATCCTGGTATAGATTAGAAGAGGGAAGAGTTGATAGGAAATAGGAAGGAGAAAAGAAAGCAAGAAACTTCAGTTCTTATCTAGTCATAAAAGGCATTCTCTCCCTGCCTACTTTTACCTCAGCCTAAGAGTGAGCAGCCATTAATCTCCAGCAAGTAGGCCCAGCATGCTGAAGGCCTGTCAGCACCATATAAACAGAATAGAGCAAACTGTTAATATTGCTGTCGTGAGAAAACTGAAAACAGACTGATTAATCGTATTGGCGCTCCACCACCAGGGAGTCAGCTTTGGTCACTGCCTTATTAGGGAAGTCACAGTTTGCTTTTAGGCCTTTCATTATTATGACTGTCCAGTTTTCATCCTCACTGTTTTTATTATTGTTGTTAAATGGACGCCTTGTTCTTAAACCTGTTCTGCAAAGCTTGACTGGCAGGAGTGATTAGTTTAGAAGAAGTCAGTGTCCTCCGTGAAGCCTAAAATGTTTATGGTGCTGACAGTTCACTGTTTCTGAGGACTCCCAGATGGCGACCCTGCTGAATCAGTTCAAGGCCTAGTTAACATCTCATGAGAATTATTTACTGTGTTCACACATGGAGGCGTGTGAAGAACTCAAGGATCCTGACGTACTTAGCTCTGTCAGAACACATCCTGATCAGCAGCCCGGGGGTCTTCAGGAGGGACACTGAGGAGAGCTTGTGCTGTGCACTGCTCAGCATGGTAACGGTCAGGTGCAAAGCTGAGGCCACATCTTCCAGCACACATGCTTTGTTTGGCCTCCAAGAATGGCCCCTGCAACTTCCAGATGACAGAATGGATGCCACCATTTGAACAATCAGGAGTTTTTATCAGTGTATTTTTTTTTTTTTGTCTTTTTCTTTTTTTTTTTTTATCGGTACCAGGGATCGAACTCACAACTGCCTGCTTGCAAGGCAGGCACTTACGCCACTGAGCTAAATCCCCAGCCCCAATCAGGAGTTTTTATGCATACACAAAACACAGCTTTCTCGTTTCTCTTAAGGAGTCATAAGCTCTGACTGCACTTTCTCGTGTAGCAGCAATCAACTGGAGATATGGAGCTGTTCATTCTCTTATTTATTTATTTATTTATTTACTTACTTACTTATTTTTCAATTTTATTTAAGGAGAAAAAGGAAAAAAAGCAGAAAAAGGGTACAAGTTATACAGAATTTCAGAAAAAAAATAAACAGTAGGAAATCACTAGTTAATGGATTACATATTGTCATCTTAGAAATATTTGTTCAAGTTACAAAATTAAAGCTTATATAGTGGACATTCAAACAGTGAGACCAAACAGTTCTGTTCAATGATCCAACAGAACTCAGTAATATCATTGTCTATCTTATACACTTAAATATACATGCAGTTATATTGTTTAGAGCACTTTCTTTTCCTCTCTTTTGTACAATGACTATTACACATTTTGGGTTTTATTGCTCCCACAGTTCTTATTACTTTTTTTGGAAGAGAGTAAAACCAAATGTGATATAACAGAACAGAGTCGGTCAA